ACAATCAGCTTGGCTGGTTGATACCATAAAGGAACATGAACTTGGGCGCCAGGTGGGTCTTGTTTCATAGTTTGGCTCAGGTGTGAGATTTGGGGCCAGTCTTTTAATTTCTGGGTCAATTTTTTCTCCAGTCTGGAAGATGAGCGATGTTATGTTTTTACTGAGTAGTGAAAATTGAAGCAAGAGCTGCCGCTGCTATTGTTGTTGCCAGTGTTATTTTGACCTAATTAGTCAGCTAGTAACCAGTGACCTACCTCCAAAGAGTAGTAGAGACTTTGCTTTTGCTCTGGTAACACAGCCCAAGTAAATCTGGTTTTTATCTGACAACCCAGTTTTCAATAGTCAGGGGAAAAATTCAAATTTTGTTGTCATTTGCTGATGCCCAAATGTCATATTTTTTAAATTTCCTCTTTTATATAAACTCCCATTGTTCTATACTCCTTCTTTTCTTTCAGAAATGCCAATACCAAGTGTAAAAAGAAATACTATTGGAAAACATTCTCTGTATTGACTCATGGAGCTGATTCTGATTATGTACAATAATTCCCTCTTAGAAAGAAACCTAATTTGTTCCTAAAGAAACAATATTTTCAGTAATTATCATAAATAAAATAAATGTCTTTCTTACAAGCTGTGATATTGCACTTGTATTTTATATGCAATTTATAAAATTGCATGCAGAAATCAAACTGACAATTCAAATATACCAAAACACTTTTATTAATATAATTTATTATTTGCAACAGTCTTCTAAGAAGGCAGATCTTATTCATATTCTACCAAGAAATAAACTGATGTGAATGGATCACACCATGAGCTTTAAACACAACTCAGAAAACAGATTTCAGACACCTAGACCAGTAGTCTTCAAAACAGCATTGCTTTTTTGCCCAACTTCGGGCCAGCTGAGTAAGGATTCATTATATAAAGTATATATATAAGAATAAGGATCAAGAAGCAGACCTTCCCCATTAACAAGTGCATCAGTAGTGGGTATAACAACATTTGACCATTTTAATGCTACAAAGCATACTGGATAATAATGCACCATCCCTGGCCACTTCAAAAAAAAAAAAGCAAAGTCTTCAATCTATAAAAAATAGCACCTTTATGTAGCTGCTTAACCTTTGAAATACAGGGTGAAACTCAGTAAGACTCAGGGCAATTGACCTGCATACTGTCATTTGCATAAGAACTAGATTATTCATTGAACTATTGTATTCATTGGTTAATCATACTGGATTATTCATTCAACTATTTATCTAGTTTTTCAACATGGACTGCCCTCTGCTTGTTAGTTAGCATAATCTTTATTCTCAAGGAATCCTAAAAAATGAAGGTTGATACTGACAAACTGCATAGTCACTGATGCTTCATCAGGGATTGCTAACAAGACAGTGAGAAAGGTGTTATGGCACTTGCCAAGAGCCAGCTGTATGTCCCTGCAGGGTGCCTGGGTTTCCTTGAGTCTTCAGACAACCCTATTAGACAGGGATTCTCATTACTAACCCAGTACAGATAAGAAAGAGCAGCCTCAAGGAAAGCCCTTTTACCTTAGTTGAAAGCTTTTGTGGGGAGATAATAAGTAAATAAGGTCACTAGAAGGTCAGGGTAAATTATAACAGGCTTTGGATCATAAGCTCTAGGTTTCATATTTTATTCTGTTAGCACTGGAAAAACAATGCAAAGGAATATTTTAATAGGATTATTTGCATTGTGATGTGTGGGGATAAGTTGAAGAAAGAAAGACTATACAGAATTAATGCTGTAGAGGGTGGTTGGGGCAAGAGGAGTCAGGACAGGGAGGAAATGTAACAGGGTGGTCCCCAGGAAAGGGGGAGGTTCCCTGCCCCACCCAAGGGAGGGTGGAGCTGAGTAGGAAGAGGAGAAGTGGCAGAAGAGACTGAGGAAGGAGGCAGGATGGAGCCAGGAGACCTGGAGGAGGCGCATGGAGCCTAGAGACACGTGAAGAAACTGCGCTTGTCTTTTTTTTTTTTTTTTTTTTAATAGAGGCATGTTTTTATTTATTCATTTATTTTATTTGTTTGTTTGTTTTGTTTATACATGCACTGGGTACAGTCAGAAGCGCAGGAGGGTGAGAGAATTCACCAGAGCCAGAGCGGGGAGCCGAGCAGGCAGAAGGACCGAAGTACACTGCTGAGGGGAGCAGCGGGCGGCAGGAGAGGTCTGCGCGCCATGTGGGACCCGCCTCTGGTGGCCGGGAAGCACCCGGGGATCGAACCGGCGCCGCAGAGGCTGCGGGCAGCTTCGCAACCCAGCGCTCAACCGCTGTGCCACCGGGAGGCCCCTGCACTTGTCTTTTGGTCGTGGACTGGGTGACACAGATGTGGGTGAGACCCATGGGGAGGTGACAATTGCAGCTTTTATCTTGATGTTGATTTTGCTCTTTTCCTTCTGGGCTTGTCTGGTTGTTTCTGACCCTTTTCTGTGGGTCCCCACTGGAAGATCCTGTAGACTTGTGGCAGGCTTTGGGGCCTTGTTCTGGGCCGATCCCATATGGATGGACTTTTACCCACGAGGGGACGGGTCACTTTGGGTGCTTCATTTAAAAACTAGACTCTTTGCCTTTCCTGTATTGTTTCCTAGTTTTATTAAAGTTCCTTCCCATTAAAGTCTCATATGTTTTGTGTTGATGTGGCGGATGGCAGAACCCATTTAGAATAGATAGGTTTGCGGGGTTTGGGCTGCTCCTCTCCCTGTCCTATAACAGATTTGGCGCCTGGAGCACATACGTGGTGGTCAGGGGGAGCGTTTGAGATTTTGAAGCTGAGAGAATTAAGGCTTCAAGTGCTGATATAGAAGATGAATGAATGAAATGAATTCATATTCATCTAGAAGTCCCTTTTTTTTTTAACTTAGCTTTTTTAAAATTATTTATTTAGTTAGTTATGCAAGCCCTTGGTACAGTCAGAAGCGCAGGAGGGTGAGAGAATTCACCAGAGCCAGAGTGGAGAGCAGAGCAGGCAGAGTGACGAAGTACACTGCTGAGGGGAGCAGCGGATGTGGGACCCTCGCCTGCGGCCGGGGATCGAACCGGCCCTGCAGAGGCTGCGGGCAGCTTCGCAGCCCAGCGCTCAACCGCTGGGCCACCACGGGAGGCCCTAGAAGTCCCTTTTTAAAAAATCAACCTGTGATGTTAAATTGTGTGCTCTCACTCATATGTGAAGTTCAAAATATGGAAAACAAACTACAAGTCTTCATTCCTCGGTGTTTGCAGGGCCTCACTGTCCCAAACGCTCCATGGTTCCAAACACACCATAGACTTGCACAGCTTGGAGCCGCGTCACCATTGAGATTTGAGATTGTGACGGCAGAATAATCTTGCCTTGGCTGAATGACATACTGATTATTAGAATCACGAAAAAAAAATTTTAGAGTTGCTGGGTCAGTATTCAACATTTTAGGAAAGGAATAGGTCATGCGAAAGCTTCATATGTGGAGAGTGAGCATGTGTGTATGTGCATGTTCATTTGTTCAATAAAAATGTATTGAGGGATGCTATGAGTCAGGCATTTTTTATAGTCAATGAGGGTATGAATTTTTTGGCCCCAGCTCACAAAAACTAGTAATCCTACGCCCTATGAATAAAAATAGTTATTATGAAGTGTGTTATAATACGATTGTAAGCAGAGCACTGGAGTTGTACAGGTGAGGGCACTGATCCCAACTGGGCATGATCAGAACAACTTCCTGGAGGGACAGGTGTCTAAGCCAAGCCCAAATCACAAACGTAAGTTAATTAGGCATTAGAGAGAATGTGAGTTCTAGAAGGTGAGGATACCATGTGCAGAAGAATAAGGCAAAGTGATGTTTGAGCACGTTAGGAGAATGATAAAAATCTCCTGTGAGTGGGGATGTGAAGTGTGGGGACCAGAAATCAGTCCATAAATTAGAGCCTAGGTCACCTAGAGCACAGTACTTATATTAGGAGGTTTGAGCTCAGTCTTGAGGGTAAGGAAAGCAAAAAGTTTGAAGCAGAGTCATGACTGGATCAGATTTTTGCTTGAGAAGGATTTCTCTAATACTGCTAAGTTTTAGAAAAATACATGTAGGGAATCATAACAGAAAATAGGGGAGTTATTTAGGAAGCCACTGAGTAGTTCAGGCAAGAGATAGTGAAATTCAGAATTAAAATAATACCATGCTAACTGATGGAGAATAAAAAAAAAATGTAGAGAGACGATATAAACTAGACAGTCGATAGAACTTACTCTCAGGATTCTATCTCAACCTCAATGGATGGTGCTACCTTTCACTAAAGTAAGCTGGGGTGAGGGGGCGGGGAATGAAGGAAGGGGGAGTAATAGTGTTTATTTGGATCCCATGAGCACATTTGAGTTTAGAAATGTTGTCCACAGGTCCTGATCTCAGAAGAAACTTGTGAGCTGGAGATACAGCTTTGGAGATGAGATACAATGGTAGGTGATGCCTAGAGATGATCTACACTAGCTCATCCTTGAGAAATGCACAGAGGAAAATGGGAAGAGGAGCAGTAACACTTGAGGAATAGATGGAGGAAGAGCTCTTTCTTGAGCTGTTTAGCTCAAGAAAGAAACCAAGAAGGATTAGCCAGAGATTTAGATACAATGTGGTTTAGCACAGCCATGTTAGTCCTGGGTCCACCAGTTGCTGTGCAGGACCACATGATGTGGGTCACTCATTATAGAGGTAAGGGCAACAATGAGAATGCAGCCAATGACCCCAAAGTGGATAGAGAACATCTCACAAATAGTTACTGAGTACCTAGTGAAGACTAGGCACAGAAGGAAAGACAAGGACATACATTCTGCATCTGTTGACATTAATAATGAAAATCAATTCCATTTTTCATTGACTTTCCAGATTTCATCTCCCTACATTACTCAAAATGATCTTAATCAACTCTGGTAACTACACATTTACAATTTTTCATTTACAAGTAATTCCTAACAGCACAGGAAACTAAGTGTTGATTTGCTTTTCAAGAATCTGACCTGGAGGGAGGAGCTGCTGGCGCCGCCGCTACGGCCGAGCGCGACCCTCCGCACCATGCCCCGCATCGATGCGGACCTCAAGCTGGACTTCAAGGATGTCCTGCTCCGACCCAAGCGCAGCAGCCTCAAGAGCCGGTCCGAGGTGGATCTGGAGCGAACCTTCACGTTTCGGAACTCGAAGCAGACCTACTCAGGGATTCCCATCATCGTGACCAACATGGACACCGTGGGGACCTTAGTGGTGATGTCACAGCATCCCATGTTTACAGCCATTCGTAAGCATTATACCCTGGATGACTGGAAGCTCTTTGCCGCGAATCACCCAGAACGCCTGCCGCACATAGCCGTGAGCTCGGGCAGTGGGAAGAACGATCTGGAGAAGATGAGCAGCATCCTGGAAGCTGTGCCACAGGTCAAGTTTATTTGCCTGGATGTGGCCAATGGGTATTCAGAGTGTTTTGTGGAATTCGTGAAACTCGTCCGTGCGAAATTTCCAGAACACACTATTATGGCAGGGAACGTGGTGACAGGCGAGATGGTGGAAGAGCTGATTCTTTCTGGAGCAGATATAATCAAAGTGGGAGTTGGGCCTGGTTCCGTGTGCACCACCCGCACCAAGACCCGGGTGGGCTACCCCCAGCTGAGCGCCGTGATCTAGTGCGTGGACTCTGCCCACGGCCTCAAGGGGCACATCATCTCTGTAAGTCTCTGTTGGGGCTGGGGGTGGATCTGGGCTGCTGTTCAGGGGACTGCAGCATGGCCCTTGACCCCCAGTGCTGAGGGAACCCTGCTTCCCAGCTGGGTATCCTCTGGGCTTGGGAGTGAGTGGGCAGCGCCATGCAGCTGGGACATTCAGCAGAGACATGGGCTCTACTCCCAGCATCCTCTGCAGCGAGGGGGCAGCACTTTGGAGTAGTAGTAGTTGGGGGAGTAGTGCAGTAGGGGAAGTGGGGAGAGCAGAGACAACAAGAGGGCCATGTGTGAGTTTGCTAGGGCTCCCTGACAAAGCGTCCGAAACCGGTGGCTTAAACAAGAGAAATTTACCGTCTCATTTCTGGAGCCAGAAGTCAGAAATCGAGGTGTTAGCGGGACCATGTTGGCTCTGGGATGTCCAGGCTTCTGGCATTTACTGGGCTTGTGGTACCAGAATTCCAGTTTCCACGTGTCCTGGTATCTGTCTTTGTGTCCACATTTCTCATTTTCATAAGAACACGAGGCATTGGATTAGGCACCCCTGTACTCCAGGGTTAGTAACCTGTGGTGTGCCAGGTGTCACCAGCTGGTTGCTCTGAGTAGATTCAGTGGCCATTTGGGGGAGAATTTACATCCTGTGACTTGAGAGATGTGTGTGAAGGAGATGAGGAGAGGCAGAGATGTGGACCTAACAATGCTTTCAAGAAGCTCTTGGATGAGCGGAACCACAGCCCCTGTCTTGTACTGAGGGTTGAATGTATGAAGGTCAAGTTAAAGCCTCTCACCAGCTTATCCATGCTTCTGCTCCAGCTGGATTGACACGACTACCATTCAAACCATTGCAGAGGCTCCTCACATCTGTCCCATTCTAGATGAGATGCTCAGAACAGAACAGACCATGTTGGCTGTAATTGAATAGAACTATTCAGCTTCCCCTTAATATGGATGAAATCCTGAATTAGTGGCAGCTTTTTAAGGGTCTTAGAACAGTGTGAACTCATTTGAATAAATCAAATCTTCAGACCTTTTCACTTGTACAATTGCTAAACTCAGTTCCCACATTAAAGAATTGATAGGTGGGGAGAGCCTGGGGCGCCCCGAGGTCACACCTCAGGAGATTTTTTAAGTGTGATATGAAACCACTGCCATCCATGGAGGGCCTGGAAAGATCTTAGAATGTTGGCAGGTGGCATTTTTAATAACGAACGTCATATGTCCTTGGGCAGCTTCTAGGAGCAAGGAAGGCAAACAGAATGTATACTGATGGGAGAAGAGACGGTGGTACTAGAAGACACTTACGAGCTAAGAAATATCTGGAGGATATGGAGAGATAAATCACTGCACCTTCCAAGATGATTCTGAACAGCCACTCAAACTATTCTTTAATGCCCAGAAATGTATGGCTTCTTCTACTTAATCCATTTCTTCTACACAACGTGAAGAAAACAAGTGCAAAGGATAGACTAAGGTCATGGACTACAGGTGCTTTGCTGGTTTCTAAATTGCAGCTATGAGTGAGACCACCCAGTGTTTTTCGTCTTCTTTCTGGCTTATTTCGCTGAGCATGATCCCTTCCAGCGCCATCCATGTTGCTGCAAATTGCATGTGTTTATCTTTTTTGAATGCTGAATAATATTCCATGGTGTGTATGTACCACATCTTCTTGATCCAGTCATCTATTTTTGGGCATTTGGGCTGTTTCCAAAGCTTAGCTATTGTAAACAGTGCTGCTATAAACATAGGGGTGCAGGTGCTCTTTGGAGTTGATGTTTCTGTGTCCTTTGGGTAAATACCTAGGAGTGGAATTGCTGGATCCTATGGAAGCTCTTTGTTTAGTAGGTCCAGAAATCTCCACACAGCTCTCCATAGTGGTTGGACCAGTTTGCACTCCCACCAACAGTGCAGGAGAGTTCCTTTTTCTCCACACCCTCGCCAACATTTGTTGTTGCTAGTTTTTTTAATATGTGCCATTCTCACTGGTGCAAGATGGTATCTCATGGTAGTTTTGATTTGCATTTCCCTGATTGCCAGTGATGTTGAACATTTTTTCATATGCCTGTTGGCCATTTGCATTTCCTCTTTGGAGAAGTTCCTTTTTATCTCTTCTGCCCATTTTGCGACTGGATTATTTACTTTGTTTTTTTGAGTCTCTTCAGCTCACTAAGAGCATTCATTATTCTATGAGGACATCAGAAGTCTGCATACTTAAATCTCTAGAAACTTCTAAATACTGATTTTACACATGATCATCACCAAAGAAATCTTTCAGGATCAGTACAATCCTGATTACTTTCTGAACTGTGTAGGTTTTTCTTCTGATTCATCAATGAAAAATACTTGTTTTAGAATTGAAAAATCCCCATACTTTGCCCCCTCTTGTCACCAATGAAGACATGGAGGTGCCGCTGAAAGCCATCTTCCATCAGCGCCCACGGGCTCTGGGAGGAGACAGTGATGATCACTGAGGAAGGGAAGGGCAGCCGTAGTCTCTTCTGACTTGCTGGAGAAGCAGCTGTCAGTAGTTCTCCTGAAGCCTCCTAATAAAGGTTAAAGGCTCCATTTAACGAAGCCCTTGGCGGGGCCTCCAGGATGGCCTAGGGGTTAGTCTCAGCGCCTCTCACCGTTGAGGCCTGAGTTCAAGCCCTGGCCAGGGAGCTACCCGCAAGGAGCGTGGGAGCTAGCCCCATCAGGGGGCATGGAGCTAGAGCGCATGTGGTGCAGCAGAAGGTCTCTTCTCTCTGTGCCTGCTGCTCCACTATGCTCTGTGCTTCAGACCCCCCCGCCCCGCCCCCCTCCTCCCCCCCCCCGCCCCCTCCTCCCCGCCCCCTCCTCCCCCGCCCCGCCCCCCTCCTCCCCCGCCCCTCCTCCTCGCCCCGCCCCCTCCTCCCCGCCCCCCTCCTCCCTCGCCCCGCCCCTCCACATGTCTTCCTAATAAAATCTGACACCTAGATACTCCCGAGTGCCCAAAAAAAAAAATCTGACCTGAACTAATAGGAAATTATTGGTTGTCTTTATCTCTTAATGTGAATATTAATGTGCTTTATTAAAGAAATGTTTATAGGGTGCCACACTGTACCCCACTCTTTTTTAAAGATTTATTTATGCATGTAAGAGCTGGAGTACAGTACCAGATGTGTAGGGAGGGGAGTGAGAGGATTCACCAGAGACAGTGGGGAGTAGAACAGGCGGATCTATTGAAATACACTGCTGAGGGGAGCAGTGGGCAAGACAGGAGAAGTCTGCTGCGACATGTGGGTCAGCTCCCTGGCCAGGGATCAAACTCATGTTGTAATGGCCACCCATAACTCCATAGTGCTGAGACTTAACCCCTTGGGCCACCAGGGAGGCCTTTGTATCCCACTTTTGAAAACATAATATATGACACATATTCCATGTTTGCCTTCTAAAATCCAAGAATAATTGAATTCCAAAACACATGACTTCAAGGATTTTATGACTTCAAGGATTTTAAAGGTGAGATTATGGACATTTAGAATTATAGTGCTTATAACATTCCAGAAACATTTTTTTTTTTTGTCTTTTCAGATTAGGCATGGCTGTTGGGAGCCATATATAATATTTATCTTGAGTGTGAAAATTTCTGGCAGAAACCAAGTTTTTGCACCAAACAGGGTTCTATTTATCCCTCTCTATGGCAACTATCACCACTGGGCCAGTGCACTCATTCACAGAGAGCTCCGCAGGGACTGGAGGGTGCTCCCTGGCTTGCAGAGAGATGTCCTGTCCTGGAGCTGACCTCACTCCCCTGGGTATTTTCTTCACTTCCTTCACTCTATGGCCAGGGTCTGCTGGCTCCCTTTTCTGCCCTGCACCTGGGCCTGCTTCCGTTTTCCATGAAATCTTAGGCCAGGAGAATCTTCCCATTCTCATTTGGCAAGCTTGGGATCATTACCATTTCAGGGCTGGAAGAAAATTCAGCATTAAGTTCAATCCCTTTCTTGTAGAAACGAGGATACTGAGGTGCAGGGAAGTCAAGAGACTTGGCCGGATCACCTAGGTTATTTATGACAAAGCCAAGTCTTCCATCCTGGCTGTTACATCATTTTCCCAACTTGGGATCCATACATCAGATGAACGGGTACAGTAGGTTTGGAGGGGACATTTTTGTTGGACTTTGTTTGTTGGGTTGTTTTACTGTTCAATATTTGTTGTCTTTTCTGCCAGGAACAATACCTCAACTTTTCCTCTGGAATCGCCCCTCCCAGACTCAACATTCCAGTTCCCTGGGTAGCATGTAATTGGAGCTAGATTCATCCACTGAAACCTTCAGAAATGACTCCTGATCTAGTAAGAGCTCTGGAAAGTTCAGAAATGATTTCTGAGAGAGGGAGATTCATGCTAGACTTCAGTGCTACCTGAGAGCACATGGCTCTTGAATTATTTATGTAAAGCTATCTTGCTATTACATGAAGCCACGAGAGGAAACCAAAGCTTAGGTTAGAAAGACACAGAATTCTGATGACATTGTTTGAGTCTCTAAATTCTCCCAATCATGCAACCCCCTTTACCTCCGATGTCTTCAGTCACATAAACCAGACTTACCCTTTGTGTGAGCCCATGCTGCGTGGATTATCCATCACTGGCAACCAAAAGTGCCTTAACCAATAAAATGAGCTTTTATAAAATCTCTTCAAACACTGTCAGTTTATGATTTAATGATTATTTTTCTAAAGGTCAGGGTATTCCTGGTATCTCTGAAATTTAATAACTTGCAGAACTGAGGTGAAATGAAGGAATATGCATCTCAATAATATTAATGAAATAGTTTTCTACTTTACATATAAGACATTAGTGCTCATTTTACCAAAGGCTGATATTCCAGTTACAGGATGCATGTATGAATCTATTTTACTAATTTGAAAATCACACAGGCATCAGGCATCATAAATTTATGTTGCAACTGAACTCTAGCATTAGGCTTTTCTGTTTATTTGTGTTTATAAAATCATAATTTCTTAATTTTAAGAACAAGGAGAGT